ATTTACCTTGGTCTTCATTTTTGCCTTTATCTTTACGCATCTTTGTTTTTGGTTTTTATTTTTACCTTTGCCTTTATCCTTTTCTTTATCTATGTACGTTGTTGTTGTTGTTGTAGCGGCTACAACAACCCCGCCCAGATCGGTTGGTATCTCAGTCGTTGTCGTCAAGTTCCACTAACGGCAACCCTAGGAAGCGTGCAGCTTCTGTGGGATCTGTCCACAGGGACAAGGCCGTTAGGGTTGTCGGGTTTTCCGGGCATGCGAAGAGATGGTTCGAGTCATGTGGGGTCTCTCCGCATGCCGGACATTCGTTCGGCACATCCTCAGAGCGAAGTTGAGCGAGTGTAGTGCGTGTCTCCCGAGGCAGATGAAGCTCTGTCTCGTCTATGTCCGGGGGTGGTATGCCTAGAACGGCATTCACAGGTCTAGAGTCTACATAACTCGAGACTGAGTCCCTGTGAATGCCGTTCAGGGCCTGTCTGTACGCTGTCGGGTCTAGAGGTTGCTTAATGAACCTCTGGACTTCGTCCGTCAGTTCATATAGATGCCTCCTGACGTGCCTAGGCGAGGGCTCCTCTGCAAGCAGCTGTCTGTTTGGGTGGCCACTTCTGTGGCTCCCGATCAGGAATTGCTTGCAGAGCATTATGTTATGCTCCTTAACTGGGAGCATTTGCGCCTCGCCGTGCAAGTGGTGTTCAGGCGACATCAGGAGGCATCCTGTCGCTGTCCTAAGTGCCGTATTTTGTACCGTGTGTAGCTTCGTCCACTGCGTCCTACTAGTCCCTAGCGACCACACTGTCGCTGCGTAGTTCAAAACCGGCCGGCCTATTGCCTTGTATGTTGCCAGCAACGTTTCTTTGTCTTTGCCCCAAGTACTGCCGGCTAGCGACTTGAGGACCTTGCTGCGGCTCTGTACTTTATTGACAATAGCGGTTGAGTGCGCAGAGAAGGAGAGCAGGCTGTCGAATGTTACTCCGAGTATTTTGGGGTTATTCACCGTCGGAATTGGTGTGTCATCGACATGAATCCCCAGCGGTAGCCTGACCTCCTTCGTCCAGGTTGTGAACAGGGTCGCGGAGGATTTCGTAGGGGAGAGGGCTAGACACTTGGCAGTGAAGAAGCGAGAAAGTCAAACACAGGTCATCAATTCCATTCCCAGTCGCCATGATCGAGCAGTCGTCGGCATAGGAGACAATCGAGACTCCCTCTGGTGGTTGAGGGAGCTTTGAAATATAAAAGTTAAACAGTAGCGGGGAAAGGACACCACCCTGAGGAACCCCCTGTTTTATTTTTCGCTGCTTACTCGTTTTGTCTCTAAATGTTACCGATGAATGTCGACCACTCAGATAATTTGCCGACCACCGGGACGGGTACGGTTAAGGCCACGAGTTATCTGAGTGTTTATGGCGTTAAGTGCTGTTGTTGTACTGTGCACTTTACGGAAACCATGCTGATGCTTCGCTGGGGTCAGGTGGTTTGTGAAGTACGGGAGTAGCAAGGCCTCGAGTGTCTTCGCTACCGGGGAAAGGAGTGTAATCGGACAATACGAATCTCCTTTGTTGGCGGGTTTCCCCGGTTTGAGCAGTGGGACCACTCTCCCCACCTTCCGGATGTCTGGGATGATGAGAGGTTGACAGGTTGAGGACCTCCGTTAGGTACGCTACCCCCGCAGGACCCAAATTTTTCAGCATCAGCATGCATATTCCGTCGGGACCCATGGCTTTGGAGGCTTTCGCCTTCCCGATGGCCACCTGAACTTCACAGCAAAGGGGGCACAAGTTGTTGACAGTTTGTGCAGCCTTCTGGTCACTCGACGCTTGGCTTTGTCTACCGGAGGATGCAGTATGAACTGCCGGCTAAAATAGCTCGCGCATCGCTCCGGGTCCGACGAAGCATGGTCGCCGAAGGAAATTTCGACTCTGGCGTCGTGCTTCGTCGGATTAGACAATGACCTCACGGTTGACCAAAGCTTGCTCACACCGGAGGTGAAATTACAAGTCTTCAGGTGCTCCTCCCACTTCTTCCGCTTATGTACGTTTACAAGTTGCCGAATCTCCGCGTTGAGATCCCTGATACGGGGATCTCCGGGATCGGCCTGACGAAGGCTATCACGCTCATCAGCTAGAACAGCCGCTTCGGCAGGGAAGTTTGGACGTGGGTCCGATATACGTCCTGCCGGTATGAAGCGAGCTGCAGCAGCAGTGATAGCCCTGCGGAACTTACGTTCACCGAGATGGACGTCGGTTGGTGTGGGGAGCGCTGCGAAGGTGTTTTCAGTAAACTCCGCGTAACCTTTCCAATCAGCTTTGGAAAAGTTGATATAGGTCCGGTGTTTGGCGGAGGCAAAGTCGGTTGGTTTATCAATCGAGATGACTATGGGTAGATGGTCTGATGCTAGAGTCAGCATAGGTCGCCACGTTATGCTGTTTATCAGACCAGCGCTGACTATTGTGATGTCTGGCGAGCTACTGCAGTTACCCATAATCCTGGTGGGTGCGTCGTCGTTCATTGTGCAGAATGTCGAATCGTCTATCTGCTCAGCCAAGTCTGTTCCCCTACGATCGTTTGACAGGCTTGAGTGCCAAAGATCGTGGTGCGCATTAAAGTCACCTACTACCATACGGTTTTCACCTCTGAGGAGCGCACCTATATCAGGGTGATATCCTGCCGGGCAGCAGGTGACAGGGGGGTATGTATATGTTGAATATTTCGAGCTCGACATCGCCTGACCGGATAGCGATGCCCTGACATTCTAGGGTGGTATCCCTGCGGTCGATGTCTGCTTCGATAAGACGATACTGCACGGTGTGGTGCGTGATGAACGCTAAGCCACCACCATTATCTCGCTCGCGATCTCGACGGTGCACGTTGTACCCGGCGCAATTCAACAAAGTTGAATTGCTGTGCAACTTCGTCTCTTGGACCGCAGCTATTAATATACCATGCCGACACATGAAGACGGTTATCTCCTCAATCTTGCTCTGTAGCCCGTTACAGTTGAATTGGAGGAGCTTCATGTGGTTCGGGAGACGTGTCGTGATGTGGGGTGTGAGTGAGGTGTATGTTCTTGCCGCCGTTGGCTGTGTGTGCTGCTGAGGTGATTGCCGCCCTGTGGTGGTGGTGGGGGGCGTCGCAATTGACGTCTGTGACCGAGCAGCGCAACACGGGCCCTCGAAATTCCCCGTCCAATCTCGCGTGGTACGCAGACCTGAACATGCCCTAAAGTGGCACCAGCCAAGGCAGGTGTTGCACTTGACTGATGTCACATTACGGAATATTCTGGTCTGACATACCGTGCAGATTGTAGGGGGAACCAAGAGTTGTTGGCGGCGGCGTGTGGGTGGTGGTGCGGTTGTGTGTGTTATGTGGTCTGTGGTGGCTGTGGTACGGTCTGTGGTGTTATTATGTTGTTGTGTAGTGGCGACTGTGTGTGGTTGCTGTGTGAGTGTGTGGGGCTGCACGGGCGGACTATGGTTTGCCGTGGAGGCTGCTCTGTTTGAGCAACAGGGGGCCACGTAAGACGTGGTCCACTGTCTGTGTGTCCGTAGTCCCGAGCAGACCCTGAGGTGACTCCACCCCTCGCAGGCATTACACTTGACTGAGGTGGAGTTGTGGTGTAATCGTCTTCGGCATACACAGCAGGTGTATATTTCTGGCCCAGGGTTTGACTCGATGCCAGCCCTGAGTAGGAGAATGCGTAGTGAATGTTGCCCTATGGACGGACAACTTCTGAGATACTTCGCCGACCCAAACGGGGTTAGATCGCCGTAACGACAGCCCTTGGTCGGGTGAAACCCGAGTCATTCCGGTACGTAGAACCGGCTGTCGTGGGAATGATCTATGTACGTAGTCACTTTTACTTTCATTCTTGTATTGGTCCTTTTCTAAGTGTTATTCTTTAACCTTTTATTAGCAAATTTTTGTTAAATTAACACCATGTGCATACACTCAAGAAGCACTTGTTTCAGCCCCAATCATTTCCGTTGCATCATTTCCGTTGCACCAATTCCGTTGCATCATTTCCGTTGCTCCACTTCCGTGTGCAATTTCCGTTGAATTTGCCCATTTACTCCCAACTAGGGATGGGCGATGATGAGAAATCATCGATTTTTTCATCGGTGATTCAACATCGATCGGAGGGTCAACATCAATCCTCAATTTTCATCGACCGACAATCATCAATTTTACACAATATCGATATCATTCTAAAATACGGAATTGTTCCTGTGCTCATCAGAAGTAAGCCGTTCTATTGGAAGCGTTCGCGCAAATTTTAACATTATTTGTTTTCATTCATTTTTTCCTCGAAATTATGTATAAGAGTTTCAGATTTGTTTAAAAAAATTTATCTAAAAACTTAAAATCAAATCAAATATTTTACTACCTTCGCCTTTTATATGAATTATAGTTTTACATACGTACAACCACGTTCAGGTATATCGTCACCTGTAATTACATATTTATGTATGTATGTATTAACAGTGAATATCTGGAATAATCGGCACTTCGATTATGTGTGCAAGGTATCGATGTTACGATATTCTACATAGTCCGCAATCGGTTATAAAACATCGATATTTTACGTCTTATCATCGATAAAATCGAATATAGATGAATATTGGACATCCCTACTCCCAACCAACCAACCGCCGTTAAAGAAGTTTCACTTCAAAATTGTGCCAAACTGAAACGTTTTTTGCAATAATAAACGATTAATTGAAAAAGGCTCTAACCAACACTTTTTCGAAACTGCGGTTTTTACAGATTTTGGCAGTATACCTTCAAAAAAGATTTTAAAGTGTTAGTACCAAAAACAATGGAGTTGCATGCCAAAAGCTTTCCTGTTTTTGATACTGTATATAACGTAATTTGCTTCTCCTGTAAAATAAAAAAATGGTTGGTAAGAGCCTGGGTGAATAAAATAAGGCAATGATGTGTAACAAATACTTAAAAACATTTTCAGAAAATTATTTCGAAATTATACTGAAATAAGTACTTACCCACTGAACCCAGGATGTTGTCAAACTGCCCAGCATTGCGAATAAATTGAATGTCAGAAAACAGGTAACTGAAGTAAATAAATTCTGATTTTGTATAATAAATGTATCCGATGATTTTTTTATATCTATAATTATAAGAACATGTTTATGTTATGTAGTATAATAAATATTTAATGTAAAACCAAAAAAAATTACACGGTGCGCTTGGATGGAGTTAATGCTCATTCTCTTTTAACCCTTAATATGTTATTATACCGTCCGAAAAAGGTCATACACCCAGAAAAAACTCAGCTAAAGATATTTCTCACAAAACATGATTTAGTAACTACATACAGTATCGGTCATATCTATAGCACGCCATTTCAAAGTGATATTGTGTGCCACTTATGTTTATTTATATATTTTTAAGAATTTTCAATTAAAATATTGTTCCTTTTCGGACAAACCCCATATATACCCAAGTTCAACAATTAGTAGAAAACTACAAAAAAGTGTAACAAATTTTCACCTAAATTTCAAACTTTTTTCTCGGTAGTGATAGAATTTTTTTGAGGACACAGTTTTTTAGTCTGATAATGTGCAAATTTCAAGTGGCTACGAATTACCGTTAATTTTTTAGAATTTTTTTTGTCGCATTGGCTTCCATATAATGAATAAACTCAATTTATTTGTATATGGAAGAAAACCGCAACATCCTTGGCGAAAAAAATTCTAAAAAATCAGCGGTAACTTTTAGCCACTTGAAACTTGCACATTATCAGACTAAAATTGATTGGGCTATAAAACTGTGTATTCAGAAAAATTCAAACACTTCCGAGAAAAAAGTTTGAAATTTAGGTGAAAATTTGTTGCACTTTTTTGTAGTTTTCTATAAGTTTTTAAACTTGGGTTTATATGGGTTTTGTTAGATAAAGAACTGTATTTTAATTGAAAATTCTTAAAAATAAATAAATAAACATAAGTGGCACACAATATCACTTTGAAATGGCGTGCTATAGATATGACCGATACTGTATAACCAAATAATGTAACTATAACCAAATCATGTGTTGACCAACCAAACACCTTTTTACCTTCCTTTTATTAGCTCGGGATGTAACTATGTAATATTGATGCGCATAAAAGATGCAGCGATTTCTATTCTCAAGTTACATACCTGATGACAGTACGAATGGCAATTGTAATAGGAAGGTTTTAGTTTTTTAAACTATAATTTTATTTATTATTTTATATTCAGCCTTTTGTCTGCTTTAAGCATTGAATTAACTGTAAAAAACACAAACACCGCTCGTACTGTAAAACGTTCTGAGCACGTTGATGCTAAATGGCAAATTTTAGGATGCAAATATCAGAGGCCTGTAACACAATAGGGGTATTCTCGAAGTCTTGCAAGATGCACGGATTACACAGTGCGACTCAAACCAAAAATTTTTAAAACACACGATAAAATCAATATATTCACAAAACTAGGAGCCAAATATAGTATAACTGCGTTTTTAATTTTTCTCTCTGACGTCAGGATTTTTTTAAAGGACTTTGAAATTTCTAGAATATGATTGAATAAAAAAAATATTTACAAGATTTGGTGCATTGTAGAGTAGCAATATGGGTATTAATTAAAAGGAAAAATTCTGTAGAATAGAAAAAAATTTAATTCGATGTCGTCGGCATACGCCAGCAGTATGACGCTCTTGTAAAGTATTGTGCCTGATTGGTTTAGTTCTACGGCTCTTATTATCTTCTCCAACATCAGATTAAAGAAATCACACGAAAGGGAGTCCCCTTGTTTGAAACCTCGTTTGGTATCAAACGGCTCGGAGAGGTCCTTCCTTATTCTGACGGAGGAGGTGGTATTGCTCATTGTCATTTTACATAGCCGTATTAGTTTCGCGGGGATACCAAATTCAGACATCGCGGCATAGAGGTAAATTCTCTTCGTGCTGTCGAAAGCGGCTTTGAAATCGACAAATAGATGGTGTGTGTCGATCCTATTCTCGCGGGTCTTTTCTAAGATTTGGCGTACTGTGAATACCTGATCTATGGTGGATTTTCCAGGCCACACTGATAAGGTCCAATCAGTTCGTTGACGGTGGGCTTCAGTCTTTCGCACAATACACTTGATAAGACCTTAAAACCTATGCTTAGAAGGCTGATTCCGCGGTAGTTGGCGCGTATGGCGGGGTCGCCTTTCTTGTGGATTGGACAGAGCACACTTAAATTCCAGTCGTCGGGCATGTGTTCATCTGACCATATTCTGGATACGAGCTGATGCATGCACCTCATCAGCTCCTCGCCGCCGTACTTGAATAGCTTGGCTGGCAGGCCGTCAGCTCCAGCATCTTTGTTGTTTTTCAGCCGCGTAATTGCTATTCGTACCTCGTCATATTCAGGCGGTGGGACAGCTACTCCATCATCATCGACTGGTGACTCGGGTTCGTCTTCGTCACTACTTTCAGCGCTCCTACCATTCAGTAGGTTGTAAAAGTGTTCCCTCTACAATTTAAGTATTTTCTGGACATCGGTCACTAGGTCGCCATTGTAGTTCTTACAGGAGTTCGCCCCGGTCTTGAAACGGGCTCGATGAAATCCAGCTACTCCTTCGGCGGCGGTACTTACTGATCGGGAAATGTGGTTCCACTGCTCAAGTATGTCGGATTGTTGAAGAGTGCTGTCAGAGCGCAGGTGTGTGAGTCGAGTAGCGAAAGCACTGGCTGTCTGTCTGTCTGCAGCCTTTCGACATTAAGCTTTCCTTGCATTGTTGGGCGCTCATTTTTTGCAGCATAGAGGCGGGTGCGTATCTTGGCTACAACAAGATAGTGGTCCGAGTCGATGTTTGGCCCTCGGAGTGTACGTACGTCTAAAACGCATGAAGCATGCCTTCCTTCTATCACAACATGATCGATTTGGTTTCTCGTTTTTCGATCTGGAGACAGCCATGTCGCTTGGTGGATGTTCTTATGCTGGAACCTAGTACTACATATTACCATGTTTCGGGCCTCGGCTAAGTCGATCAGCCTCAGTCGGTTATCGGATGTTTCGTCGTGGAGGCTGAATTCTCCGACAGTGGCGCCAAAGAACCCTTCCTTGCCCACCTTGGTCCGTTTATGAGAGCTTTCACTGTATCTCAGTCCAATAAAATATGTTTTGATAACTTTTGATATTGAAATTTTAGCAAAAGTCATTATAAACAATTTATGAGATCGAAAACGAAAAACGTGGAGCGCATGCAATACAAAGAATTAGATTTCATTGACAATAGTGAAACTACATCAAGAATGATAGAATACAAGATTGCGCCAATCGAGCTGAGAGCAATTGGGTGTGACGTCATATTATTATGAGAATGAGAGTGTAAAGAATAATTTTGAAGAAAAAGAGGAAGAAGCGAACAAGTGGTGCGAAATAGTGATGTAAAACTAGGCTGAATTGTACCTACTCTTCAGCTTCTCAAAATTTGAACGTACATTCGGTACAAGCACATTACTTTAAATACATTTAGAACGTAGTAAAATATTGTTTAATGTAAGGCGAAAAGTTGTTAGGGTGCAGTAGGAAGATGTAGTCCACCAACTATCAAAAATATATGCACATAAAAATACATGTTTACTGTTTACGTACGCGTATCTACTTTTAGGCACAACTTTTCGACAAATAGGTACAATATGAAAATTCATTATTCATCACTAGTGCGAAAAAATAATAATGTAACGTCAGCGAAAGGGTGGATGCTGTCAAATCGAGAAAGAGGGGATTAGCGATCCGCAGAAGGCGTCACCTTTGTTTCGCTGCATCGTGAAACTACATAACATAGACCTAAAATTTCTGAGAAAGTACAAATTTGAAATCGATTTTAAGGTCGTTATTCATATACCCACATTAGAGGGCTGCATGAATGCATTCAAAACGGCTTATGAATTATTCATATACAAAACGAATGAATGATTTTGGCTTCCAATTTCTTTGAATTTGAGTGAATAGCTGTTCTGATATTTGTGGCGACATTACAATATTCAAACAAAGTGAAAATAAATTGAATTTAAATAAATAACAATTTTTTGTATGAATATCCAAAAAATTTTTTCTATGCACATACCCAGTACAACTTGGGAGCATCGTACGATTAATCGGTGAGTACTCCCTTGGGAGAATACGAATACTCCCCATTGCTCCCTATGCTTCTGTGTATAAGCATGTAATTTCGTATACTCCCTTTAACATTGGATGTCCTAGGAGGGGGAGTAATCCCTTTTACCTCCTAAACGAGCAATCGGGGAGCACACACAGAGTTATCATCCCACAAACCTTCTAATGGAGCAATACGGGAGTACTCCCATAGTTACCTCCCAAAAAAAACCAACAAGGGAGTGCACATAGAAAACATCCCATAGTCCTCCCGAACGAGAAATAAGGGAGTGCTCCCATTAGAGGCATCCCGAAAGCCTCCTATAGGAGTAATAACAGAGCAATGATAACGAACATTTTAAATTAGCCAAATAGATTTTGCTATTTATTAAATTTTTTATTTAACTTTTTAATCATGTGCATTTGTGCAATTTTACAAGATCTTAACAATTATAAGTACGAGATCAGATAAAATATAAATGATATGTCTTACACAATTGCTTAATTTTAGAATTATATTGCAGAGAAATCATATGAAAGTAAAACATAATAATAACAAAACGGTAAGATAAGATTTGAATTATATGCACATATAAGTATGTACTCGTATATGATTTCCTGGGTGTCAAGGATGCTTGCCAGTTCAGGAATCCACCAAGCGGGGAAATTGTGAAGGTGACTTTGCTTATCTGACATCTTTGTCACCCATGCAATGTTTAAACCCGGGGGTCACACTTAAATGCAAACACTAATTTGCGCAATCTGAAAAGTATTTAACGGTATATTTATAAGTAAGACAATACTTAATATATTTAAACAAAAGTTGAGGTACATACCAACGGACTTTTATTAAAATCTGTGTGCTATCCAAATTAGATTATTGTGTCCTCCTTATGCGTCTATAAGAAATATTTTCTGTTGGTTTTTTTTTTCTATGATAAATTTTTCCAAGAACACAAAATTTCTTTTGAACGAGGTGCGTATTGCTCTCCTTTCAATCAAA